CTTTCTCTTGGGGAATGTTGACGAGTCCATTTAGCTGGTTATGATAAGTAAAGATATTGCTTTGAAGGCCTATGGAATATTTTCTTGATTCTTTTCCATGTTCGATGTAATTTTTTATCTATAATGTATTAATAAATGTGATATAATTACTTTAAAGGGTAAAGTATAGTAATGGTCATTGAACTTTTCTAAAGCTTTCATTTAGGTCTCCCAACTTTTAAAAAATTGCAATACAGTCCTCAACATTTAGTCCTTTTGCAATCTGGTATCGACGTAACGGCCATTTGACGATGTTACACTGTCGTTAGTACATTGCAATATGTTCATGAACTTTTCAGGCGCTTGCATTTAGGTCCCCCAACTTTTAAAACTTGCAACACAATCCTCAGAAGACCCACCAAGGGATTATCAGGATGATAATGTTGTGAGAAAAAGGTGTAATAGGTTAGAAATGCAGAGTTGACAAACACTGAAGCATAGATGTTCGATGAACTAAGTATCATGAGTTGAAAAAAAATAGGTTAGAAATGCAGAGTTGACAAACCTAAGATGAACTAAGTATCATTGTTGAAAGTCACCAACAAAGCTGGAATTTTTGTATACATGACATATAATAATTTCTTCGTTTAATCCTTGTGGTTAAAGATTTTCCAACAGATAATCAAATATAATGAAATCCCTAACAACGCATTCACCTCTCAGTCTCTTTCGCAACTAGAAAGGTATCATGACAAGGTCAAGTAGTTGCTCTAAATATACTACCCTGTCATGATGCATTTCGAGTTGTGTGCATGCATAATTGTCTTCTAAAGCTATAATTCAATACAATTCAACTATAAAATTTCCAAAAGATGTTTTTAATAAGTTCATGTTTAAATATTTGAATTGCCCGTCCAACTCAGTTGGTGAGCGCAAGGCTCTTAACCTTGTGGTCGTGGGATCAAGTTTCACGGTGGGCAAATTCATAATTCTGATTGTCGGAGGTCTCCCACGGAAATTGCTCTCCACCTGGCGTTGAGGACAACCTACTATCCTACCTCCCCCTTACCCCATTACACATGGGAATAGGGTCAGCTAATTTTTATGTTTTAAATATTTGTTTCATTAAAATCATTTAACCATATACTTTGGACAATATAAAATAAAACTTCCAGGTAAGTTTTCATGTGAATTAACCATGCCAATTTATGCAGGTTGCAAATTGAATTTTTATATTTTTTATAAATTTGGGATAAATATAAAATATTATATGTTTAAAGATTTTTAATCATTGATAATAAACGTTTATATCATTGAATATATAATGCTCAAACTCGAAATTTCAAAGAGATACAATAATCTCACACACCTCGTCGTGAATTTGCACCATTTGACTTTTGGTAATAGCCACAAAATTCCAAATTAAAAAGTTTTTATGACAGCGAAACGATCTTAAGCTAAATTTGAAGTTAGAGTTTGGACCACCATGTCAGAAATTTTGTCCCTAAATTCTTTCAACATGTCGTACATCTCATAGTGTACAATTTTCAAAAGAGGGTGGGTGGACTTCCTTTGATGCATAACTAATTTAATTAAATTTATTTAAGAGGCATTACTTGTACTTATTTTATCATGTCATTTATGGTTAGATTACTAAAAATTATTTATTTTACTCTTTCCTCTTAATGTCATTATTTACTTTTTGTTTTCACAAACAATGTCATTATTTACTAAGAAAAAGCAATTCATTTTTTTTAGTTTTTTTAAGAGAAAAACGATGGATTTTGAAAAATATTTTGAAATTTAGGAAAGTTTTCACTTGGTAATTTTCATTTTAACTAACTTGAACACGCCTCAAGTCACAACAATCATTATGTAATAAACTTAAATCGTGTCATGTGCAATATGAAACTTATTACATTTAAATGAAAATTTTCAAATTAATTTAGTCAAAACTATCAACCAACTTATTATTCTCCATACACATGATTAAAATTCATACCCCAACCAATTAGGGTCCAGCAGCTCAAAATCATGTGTCGTAGATACATCCATAATTGATTGGAATTTTAACTGCCGTATTACACCCAAATTATATGTCTCAACTATTATTAGACGCTCACCCATGTTTTAGTTACATCTTAATCTTTCATATATTCCCTATAATTTTACATCAAACACAAAACAACAGCTTCGGTTCTTCGAAAAATCTATCAATCAGCTTTTATTAGTTATATAATATAAAATTTGCTTCAGATATTATATTTTAAATTTAACTTTTTTATCCTTTAATATAAATTAATTTTTAGTAATATATATTTAATTATAAGTAATATTAATATTAATTATAGTATGCAAAAATAATTATTTCACTTTAGGATCAATACAAACATCACTAATTAGACATATGACAAACTTTGTTTAGATTTAGTAAGGATGAGGGAAAGCTATATGCAGTGTGGAAAAGGATCATCATTTTATTTGTTCAAGGTGTGACTAATTTAATAAAGGTCGAAGGCAACCTCAGACACACACAGGTAGTATGTCGACTTGAAACATAAGAATATGGAGTTTATTATAGGCGATAAATTACTCTTCAAGGTGTCACCTTAGAATTAGTACTTTATTCTGAACAAAATGGACAGTTTAAAAATCATGACGATGGAGGTCACCAAACTAAGGAACAAAAGATTTTTTTTTAATGAAATTCCTATGGAGAAATCGTATCATTAAAGAAGCCACATGGGAATATGAGGCAACAATAAAGCTCCAATCTTGTCCTTTTCAATTCAAGTAAATATTGATGAAAAAAATTACTTCAATGATGAGATAATTATAATAATCTAAAATTCATGGTCAATATCCACACGTTGACATGAAACTATGACAATTCGAATAATGAGTTCAATTAGGTTTGATGGGTTAATATTTGTGTTTAATTGGATGAGAATTGTGACAAAGTAGTTTTAATGGGATCACTTTGAGTTGGGATTATAGGTTAAAAGACATGACGAGCAATTATACCATTATAGATAAAACATGAGTTAACCATTTTGATTGGATGTAGGTTTAATTGAGGGTAGTCATGAGGTAGGGATGGCAACAGGTCAGGTTGGCTTGAGTTTTTTGTTAATTCAACCCGAAATATATATTTTCCATCTAAACCCGACCTGACCCGAAAAATATATATCATGCACCTAAATTCGACCCGACCTGAATCTAATTTTTCTTTAAAAAAATCTGACTTTATTAAGTCGAATCAAAATTTGTCGATTTCGAAGTAAATTACCATCATTAAATTGAGGATTTTATGAAGTTTTCCACTTTTCCTATGGTTCAACCTTGCTAATAGTAAGCTTCTTTTATCATTTGAAGGAGAGGCCAAGAAAACTAAAAATAATTGAATAACCAAAACACACAAAGTAATGAAGTCAAAAACCTTAAAAAAATGGACTTTTCACCAACGTGGGCCCAATGATATAAATAAAAGCTCGTCAAAGGCTAAAACCGCGTAAACCTATTGACTTTGGACGGCCTTCTATTTCTTTAACCCCTCTTCCTTGTAAATTACAATCCTATCCTTTTCCCATCAAGATTCAACATATAAATAAACGGACCCCACGTCTATTCTTTTAATATCAATTCATATTTTATTTCATGCACAAATAAACTAAAATGATATTTTATAATTCAACACATACAATTTCAATTATTTTAATATCAATTGAATGTCAACTCATTATTTTAATTATGTTTGTTTTAAAAAATAGTAGTCGTTTTTATTTTCTTTAAAATTGAAAATTCTTATAAAATCTGTTTAATTGAAATCTTTAAAAATAATTCTTGGAAAATAAAAAATTTATCAAAGTTAAGACTTCGTTTGATTTCAGAAAATATAAATTATTTTAGTTTCAATTTCATAGAAAATGAAAGTCAGCAAATGATACATGTTAAATTAATGTTTTTTAAAATATTTCTTTTGGAAAGGGAAATATATAAAAATGATAAAATAATTTTTTTTCTCATTGTTTTCCTTAAGGATGTAATGTATAACTAAAAAAAATGAAAATAACATATCTTAAGTTAATAACTTAAAATGGATTCAAATCTAAATAAATAAATAAAAAGTATGATTGAGCACGAACCAATTTAACTCAGTGATTAAAGGAATCGTTATTGTTCTTAGAGATCATGGGTTCGAGCACCATCTACTGTAAAAATGGTTGAACGTTCATTGTCAAACAGTTAAGAGTATTTAGAACATATATTATCTTATAATCACATTTAACTTAATAAAAAAATGATTGAAACCCATAGAAATGTATGATTTTTTTATTATTTTTATCACATTTTTATTATCTAACAAGTTTTCTAATTTTCATTTGAAAATAATTATTTGTTTCTACATATCAATCACATTTCTCAATTTTCAATAAATAGAAAATAAAAGTTCTTTTTTCAAAATAGAAAACAAAAAAATATTTTTTTAACTAAACAGAACCTTAAAAGTTATAAATATTTATTTTTACTGTTTTTCATTGATGTATTTCCAAATTAGAAAAATGAAAATAAATTTTTTGTCAACTTAATAAAGTGATATCAATTTAAATTTATATAAAATTTTAAATATTAAATTTCTGACTAATTTATTTTTCTAAAATAGTTTTTTAATTTTTTTTCATATTTTTGTTATAAAAATTGTATCAAATTTTATATTTTATTATTGAAATAGAATTTTATTTATATTTATTAAATGTATTTTTCAATCTAAAAAATAGGAAATGAAGATAGAATAAAAAATACTTTTAGAAAACAAGCGCAAGTATTATTTTTCATATAAAAAAAAAGATAAATTGAATAACTAGGATGGCATTCATGATAATTTCAGAAAAATACAAGTCCTAAACCATAATCTCAAACAAACTATAAAAGCAAAAATTAAAAAATATATATATAAATATATATCAAAACATCTTAACCTTGTCCGAAACTGAAACTCTCCAACCTCTCTCTCCCTTGCAATGTCTGAAACAGGTTTAACGGTGCTTGACGGAACCCATCTCCGATCTCTCAACCCCTCTTTACCTGAATTAAACGATGCTATCACTGGATCCCAACTCCTTGAAATCGCTGACTCGAAAGCCTCCACTTCTCTCTTTGGCCTCTCGTTGCCTCAAAACCTTAAAGCTTCCGCCCTTTCTCGTGTCATCGACGAAACCTTTGATGATCACGATGATGACGTCACTTTCCGGAAAGCAGAGCTCAAAAAAGATAAAGCGTCCAAGTTTCTCTCCGATTACATATCTGCCATTGCTAATGAGATGAAAGGTAAAAGAGGATCAAGTCAACTTTGATTACTTTATAGTTAAGATTATCATATAAAGTTGAACCTTTTAGAGAACTTTAAAGTGTTTGGTGATTTTATGATCTGGGTTTTTTCTGCAGGTTATTTTGACTAAACTATAAACTTTTGGGGTTATTTTGATTTTAAATTATTGAATTTGGTTGATTTGTTTAGATGATCCATTAGTGGTGTCAATATTGGATGGGAATACTTTGAAGATGTTTTTGGAGGATGAAGATGATTATGCCATGTTAGCAGAGAATTTGTTTACTGATATGGACATCGAAGATAAAGGGAAGATATGCAAGAGTGAGATAAGAAATGCACTTGTTCATATGGGCGTCGAAATGGGGGTTCCTCCATTTTCAGGTTCCTCTTCCATTTCCATATCACTTTCTTATGTTGTTTTAATGTATCGAATGTATATGGTGAAAGTCATTATGGATGGTTAAGTCACGGCGTCATCTGTTATTTTGGATGGCATGGCATGTTTGACACCCAAAATTTAACACCGGAGTGAGATGCTATGTGAGAAATGGAGTTGTTGCATAGCATAATATCAAGTGTTTATGCAGCCAAAGCTCGAACATCGTATTCATGGATTTAACTTGGTTCGAGCTTATGAGGAGAGCCATTTAGGGATCATATAAGATCTTTTATCTATTCCCTGTGTCAATTTGTATGTCCCCCTTCATTCTAAATGGCATGTTGTACATCATAACTTGAACCCGGAATGACTATTGCTATGTGAGAAATGGATTTCTTACTCCATAACTCGAATGTATTAATGAATCTAATATTTGTGTTGGTTCCCAATGTTTAAACAGAATTTCCTCTGCTAAACGAAATCTTGAAAAAGTATGGGGCCGAGGGGGAAGAAGAACTGGGCCAAGCACAATTTGCTGAATTACTTCAGCCGATTCTGCAGGAAACAGCTGATGCATTGTCTGAAAAGCATGTTGTTGTCATACATAACATCAAGGTTGTCAATGGTTCTGAGCTAAGAAAGGTAGATCACAAACACGATCTTTTGCTTCTTATATTGTAGTAATATGAAGATCAAAGAGCATATGCTTTTTGAATTTCAGCATGTAATTGATACTTAACGTTTTTAATCATTTCCACTTGAGAAAAAAGGGAGACGGTCTGCATCCAAATGGCTTCACCACAAATTTCCTTTCATAAAGGATAAGTGGAAGCCATATTGCGAATATTTACCATCATCGATCCAATATAGTAGGAGAATCGGTTTTTCATTGTTGTTGAGAATTATCGAGCTTAGAACACAAGGATGACTTCTGATGTCTACAAATCCAAACATTGCAGGTCTTGGCAGATGAGAAGCAATTCAACGATGTCTCGGAGAGGGTTTTGTTGGAAACAGAAAGCGAAAAAGATGGGCTACGTAAGACGAAGCTAATCAGGAGTTTCTTAGAGAAACATGGAAAAGATTTTGGCTTGCCACCGTCTGAATCCAATGAAGCTGTGGTTCTTCTCTACGATGCGGTATTCTCCGAAATCGAGAATGAGAAGAGTGTTACACGAGCAGACAACGAATTCAGGGAACTCGTGAAAGACATCCTCGAGAAGTTTGCAGAACAGCTTGAAGCTAATCCTGTGTTTCGTGACCTTGACAATTAAGAGAGTGGTTGAACTATGGTCCTGTCTATGGACCCGGTTCTTCGTGTTTCGTGACCTTGACAATTAAGAGAGTGGTTGAACTATGATTCTGTCTATGGACCCGGTTCTTCGGGTCACGGAGGCAGTTCATATTTATCCGGCAGTTACTTGCCTCTGCAGTGGTTCTTATAGATTGCATAAACTATGCTTATATATAATGATGAATGGTGATTGTCTATATTAGATATTAATGGAGGAGAGCTTGATCCTATTGCAAAGGGAAAACACAGATGGTGTAATTAACACTGTTACTTAACAATAATAGGTGTGATAATGATTTGATTAACCGATTTAAAAAAAGTTAATGCATGGTATTATGATCTTTCAAAGATAACGATGAAGATTAAAATTCGCCCCGAAATTTAGATAGGTTGGTTCATTGGTTTCTTAACTTGTATTTTTAGATAAGTTGACCTTTAGTCTTTGAACTTGTAATTTTTTCAACTTAATTGATAGACTTTTTTCAGTCCACACTAGTCCTGGTCATGACAACACTTTAATTTGGTCTCACACTTAGATTTCATTAATGTGCGATGACTGACACGTGAGGTTGAATCAAATAATCATTTAAAAATTTAAAATATATAATCTAAAAAAAATCAAGAAATGTATAAAAGAATCAATCGACTATGTTGTACGATCTAAAACTGTCACATCATCAGATCTTAATATGATTCAAATTAAGGGACTAAATTAGAAGAATTGCTTAGTTTTAGGATTAATGTGAACCAAAAAAGCTCATAGGCCAACCTGGGGAAATTATGAAATTCAAGGGGTAAATGTTGAGTTAATCCAATAGTCGTAGTGATAAGTAGAGAAAAAGGAGAATTCAAGGGGTAAATGTTGCTTTATGGTGCTTTAGAGAAGATTATGAGAGAATATTCCTCTCAGATTTGGCAATATCTTCTATGGGGACCAGCAGTGAAGCCAATTTCATCCATCAGCTTCTATCAACAGAAAAAAAAAAAACCCAGCAACTTGCACTGCGTTTAGATTACTAATCAAACTCGAAACAACGATTAATTGATCAAGTCCATAGATGCAAAACACTTTCCCCTTAGACATGAATGAAATGGCAGAGACTGTTCTTACGTACGAATCGATGCTCGAACGAAGAGATGATGTTTTATTTGAAGGCTAAAAGACCTTGGATATCATCTTACAACACCGGAGTAACCATGGAGAGCTAAATTTGAATACAGTGGGAAGCTTAAACACTTTCCCCTTAGACAATAGTACACAAACTACAATACCAAAAACCAAAACCAGATGATGCATTCCCACATTCTATGCCAATAAAACTTGGCTTCAAAGCAACTACAAGAGCTTTACTTCTTCATTCTTTGCCATCGGCTGCACGGAGTGAGCCCAGCTGGACTGGTGCTTGAGTTCCCACGACCTTAGATGACCCGTAGATGGACATGTCAATGCCTTGAGCCTTCTCTTTCTCGACTTGTTCCTTGATCCAGAAGTACGTAATCCTCAGCCCATCCTACAAAACATTACAGTAAAATATGCCATGAGTGAAAAAGATATGGAGTTGAAGGTCGTGAAAAATATTTGAAAACTCTGAAAATCATGAACGATAACGCAATTCAGTTACCTTCAACCTCATCGTAGGAGCCCAACCAAGTTTTTCTTTGATCAATGTTTTGTCTGAATTGCGACCACGGACACCCTCTGGACCAGGGATATGGTGGATTGGAAGGTTTTTATCCTCAAAGCTAAGAACAATCTCTGCCATTTCATTCATGCTAACCATCTCATCACTTCCAATGTTCACAGGTTCCCGGAAATCCGACTTTGTCAATCTGAAGACATTAATTTTAAAAAGAATGATACGCAATAAGGAGGATATTTTCACATTCAAAATAGAATAGCAATTTCAAGCCGAAGTCTAACTTTTCATCTAACACAGTATAAACTTTACAAAATTATGGCTAGAAACACATTACACAAATTACATATTGCTTTCTAATTTTTAGTATAAGCCAATTCATGCAGATCAACGTTTACTAAAACCAAAAATCCTTGGATTTTCCCTTTAAATTGTTGCATAAAGCATGAGTTTTGGCTGGAGGAGCTATAGAAAAATGCCAAACTTTACCTAAGTACACCCTCAACACATTAATCGATGAAGGTGAAGGATCGGGTCTGAAGACCATCTCCCCACATCTACAACTTGTCGGTGGAAGTAATAGCCTTTCTGCAAAATGCGGCAGGAGCCTTCTCCCTTCCACCTAAAAGACGGATACATGGAAGTGACAAATTTAGTATGTTCCAAAAGCAGCAGCATACACAAGCACTCACCAAAAGTGAAAAGTTTACCTTTCCATGTTCCAAACGGGTCATAAATGTTGTGAAACCTTCCAATACGGCACTCAATTCCAAAGTCTTTGGTGTTGTGCTTGCACAATTCCTCAGTTGCAAGCTTTTCCAAGCCATAAGCATCTTGTGGCTAAACCCGATATTTAAGAAGTGAAAATCAATAATTATATCATACTAATCAATAAAGTATAAGATTAGTGGATAGTAGTTAATGACCATGAGTCACAAACCTCAGCAGGCCAGGCATCAGATTCTTTCAAGCTCACATTAGTTTCCAACTGCTTAAATTCAGGGTAGATACAAGCACTAGAGGCATAGAAGAACCTAATCAAACCAAGAAATCGAGTTCAAACCAACTGTAAACTTAAAACAGAACTGCAATGAATAAAATGCAAACACATAATGCACCAATCCAATAAACCTCTTAACTCCACTGATCCTAGCAGCCTCAAGCATGTTGAAACTGATCATAGTGTTGTTGTACATAATGACAGAGTGGTTCGACTGAATGAAACCCATACCGCCCATGTCGGCAGCAAGGTTGAAAACATGATCCACTTCCTTGGTAACCTTCAAGCAATTCTCCATGACTCGGAGATCGACGAGGTGGAATTCATGACAAAACATGTCTTCTGTCATATGCTCATTCTTCTTCCAGTCGGAAGCAATGATGTAATGGCCTTCACTCTTGAGACGTAGAGCAATGTGGTAAGCAATGAACCCACCAGCACCAGTGATGGAAATCCGGAGTTTCTCGGAGGGCCAATAAGGCTCCCTCTCCAGGGCATCATAAGTGTAAGCACCATAGCTGGACCCATCAGTACTTCCCATCCTGCATACACTCAATTATTAAACCTCCATCAGTACAGCTAGATGTAAATGACAAGTATTAAACCATATTAATGCCATATACCATCATGTTTTATATAATGGCCATTCAAGCATGACAAAACAAAGATCAAAACGAAAAATAACATGTTGAAAATGCCAACAACATTACAATTTTAAAAGTGTAAGGAATCTCCAAGTTTTGGGGGAAACTAAAGAAAAAATAAGCACTAAGAAGAGAGAAGATATAAGTAATCAAAGTGATAAAGTTTAAGAATATAAAAATTCAATCTTTCGTATAGCGAAATCCTAAATATATCCCTTTAGATAGTAAAGCCGAATTGGATTAAGAATTTTATTAAGAAAAGAAGTCTTCGAAGTTTTTTTTTTTAAACAAAAATCTTAACTAGCAAATCTTTACATTTTTTTAAGAGACTTGACAAACAAACCTTAAAGCAATACAAGTTACTGCTATAATCAGATAATTTTCTCAAACTCTAAATTATGCATAAAAGGGGGAAATCAAGCACAAAATTTAAAAGAGTGTGAATGAATCTCTTTAGCTTCAATGAATGGCGGTAAAGAACACAAAAAAGTGAGGCAGAGGGTAGATAAACATGAAACTTAAAACAAACCCATAAAAATTAAGTCATAAATAATAACGATAAGCATTTAGAAACAACAAAGAACGGAGAGGAAAACAAAAAGTTGAGAAACAGAGCACTTAAATCAGGACATGGAAGAGAAACCAAGTAAACACCCAACAGAGAAAATGACCTAAAAAAGAAGCACAAGTTGAGAACTTTGAAGAGAAAAAGATAATGGAAAAGCGAATTGAGGATTGAAGATGAAAAGGATGAAGGATTGTGAAGCTTGAAATGCTCTGTTTTCTATATATAGAAGGAGCCACAAAGAAGGGAGGAGATGGTAACAAAAGCTCGGTTTTATTCTTAGCCATAGTTTTTCTTTTAATTATTTTATTTATTTTTCAACAAATTTTAGAAAGATTTGGCGACATAAATTTTATTTTATTTTAGGTTTTTGGAATTAACGACAAAGGATGAGGAAACAATTACTTATATTATAAAAAATAAAATAATTTTTTTTATTTAGAGTTATTTTTACATATTTTGATGAAGTTTAAATTCTAAAATTTTGATTATTTATGATTACCTACTGTTTTAAAAATGAAAATATTTATGCACATCTTATTATTATAAAATTATATTATTTTAACAGTAATTTTTAAAATATAATTATGTTTATATCTAAATTTTAATGTATAGGAAGAGGAAACAGTTATCTATATATATTTTTCAATGATAAAAAAGAAAAACCTTATCTAGCAACAAGAGAGTTTAAAATATGAATAATTAAGATATTTCGATCGACTAAAGACAAAACTAAGACCGACATAATATCAAAGAAACGCACAGAGAAGTCTCTAAGCAAGGCGAGTTTAAATTGTGAAAATTAAACTTATTAATTAATTCGAAATTGTGACATTTATTCTCCTCATCATAGGACGGTATTTTGACTTCATTTATAAAATTAAATATGTTTTCTAACCAATCATTTGTTTAAATTTAAACTGTGAAAATAAACTTATTAATTAATTGGAAATTGTGGGCAGAGTAATGGCCACGAACCAAGTGGACCCTTTGACACGTGGAAAATTCTAAGAAAGCGATTGGAAGTAAGGCTTTGTTTGTTTTGGGGCACAATGAAATTACTTGGTAAGTGTGTTTTTGGTTTGTGAATTTTGTTTTTCACTAAAGATATCATTGAGAGTGTGTTTGGTTCATAAAATGTAAGATTACCAGTAGAAATAAATGATTACCAGAGAATAAGATTACTGGGAATATTGTATTTTGTGTTTGGTTGGTTTAGAAAGAATGTAAGATTACCGTGTTTGGTTAAAAGAATAAAATATTATTGGAATATATATTTGACCAAATTGTCCTTATTATATATTTATTTTTTTAACAAGGTGTAAAATATTTATTGAAAAATTTAAATTCA